AAAAGCGACAAACAGCGTTCGAGGGGCGAGCAAGTACCCTCGTGGTAAGGCTGCAGCCAAAAACGGCGCTCGAGCCAATTCTCGCATTCAAAACTCCAAAGGAGGTGCTGTTTACCAAGGCCACAATGGCCACAATGGGGGTGGCAGCAGTCGAAAGATGAAAGCCGCCGAACCGGAGTCACTTGAGCTGCCGCATCCCTCATCAGCAGCACAGTTTGCGGCATTGCAAAGGAGCAAAGGAGGAGGAGGAGGAGAAGGCCTGGCAACTCCGGGCAATTTGATGCCCAATCTGGCGAACCTGTACAGTCAATTCGGTCCCAGTCTGTTTGCCAACACCTTTGCCAGTTTCTTTCATCCCCCGCAAAGCGGTCCCAGCCAGAATGGTCAACACCCACCGCCACCACTTTCGTCACTACCATCACTTCCACCAACGACCAATTTAGCGCACAACTCCTCTGCAGCAGTCAGCTCACTTCTAGGTCCCGCTTTAGAGCAAGTTTTCTCTTCTGGCAACTACCCACCACAACTGTCAGCAGGATCACTTCCGCCACTACCTCTCCCAATACCACCACCACCACCACCGTCCCAATCATCCTCTCTATTTTCGCCCAGTAGTGCTCACCATTTTGGAAGTTCCATGTCAGGCAAAATGTACGGAGGCAACCTCCAGCACTCTCCACCCTCAGGTGTGAAAGGCATGGGCACTGTATCATCACCCTATCACCCCCACCACCACCGACCATCTCAATTACACCCCTTTGAGCAGCATCAGTCACTGGGTGGTAGTGGGCACGGTGGCAGTTCCAGCTTGGTCACCGCCTCCAACAGTCCCTCCTCATCGACGCTATCCGACTCTGTCAGTGGTGGTGGTGGATCACCCTCATCCGGATCATCATCCTCTTCCGCCTCTCTTTCCCCCTGCATCTCCATTTCACCAAAGTCAGAGTACGATCAGATGCCTGCCGGCGGCACTGGTGGAGGCAAACGAGGCAGTGGTGATCACCACCACCACAAAGAATCAGGCAAATCGAGAAAAAATAACAACAGCCATCACCACCGCAGTCGTTCATCGCAATCACCCACGCCAGTGACAGCATCACCAGCCAATACCTCTTCGGTTGCTTTGCAGGGCACCTCCTCTTCAGGCAGTCAGCTAAACCTTCCCCCCTACTTTCTGCCGCCCTCGAGCACCGCCTCCAGCCCTTTGATCAGCTCGATGTACCTGCTCTCTCCCTCGCTGACCGCCCTCAGCTACCAGGCGAGCAACGTCTGCGCCTACTGCGGCACCGCCTTTCGCATGACCAGCGACCTAGTGTACCACATGCGCTCTCACCACAAGAGAATGGCCAGAGGAGGAGGAGGCGGGGGCGGGGGTGATGGGGCAGATGGAAGTGGTGGAGGCAAAAAGCGGCGCAATGACGCCCTCAAGTGCAACATCTGCCAGGAGACCTTCAGGGAGCGACACCACCTGACGCGACACATGACCTCGCACCAGTAGAACCAGCAGCAGTTTGGAGCAGTTTGTTCTAGTCGGTTCACTAGTCACCATTTTCCTTGTATAGCACACACACATTCATTGACACAGCGTTTATTCTAGTCTAGTAGAAGTTTTGCTCTCCTTTTTGGTAACAGTTTTGAGTATTAGTATTTGATGGTCATCATCAGCTGTAAATCGACACTACTTTCTACAGGATCTTCTGGTCATTCCATTCCACCAGAAACGGCCGATATGATGTGTTCTTTTTCTGTTCTGTTTTTTGTGAATATTACTGAATATCGTACTGAGTGAATGTTCTAGTCAGCAGTTCGAATCAGAAGTTTTTGAAATCAGCTCAACTTTTGACCTTTCATGTTCATAACAATAATTAGATTGATAACTTGANAAAACGGCCGATATGATGTGTTCTTTTTCTGTTCTGTTTTTTGTGAATATTATTGAATATGGTACTGAGTGAATGTTCTAGTCAGCAGTTCGGGTCAGAAGTTTTTGAAATCAGCTCAACTTTTGACCTTTCATGTTCATAACAATAATTAGATTGATAACTTGATAAAGCCCCAATAAAGGCACTCTTCTATTGATCACAATGGTTTTAGTTGTGTTTCGGCGAGTAAATTGGGTAACTTTTAGCACATTTTGCTGGAATGTAACGAGTTACCGAACTTAGCTGTTGTACCAGATGTCAAAGTTGGACAGCTGTGGTTTGTCATCGACCGAAGGAATCGACTCTACACTGCTCCTTACCTCATTCTTCTTATTCTGCACTGCCTCGGCGCTTTCACTTGACAGCTTTTCCTGCTGATGCAGGTGCTGATGCTTTTGCTGACCACTGTTGTTATTGTTGTCCACTTTACTGAATCTCTGGTTTTTCAACGCTGACCGCGTCGGTGGCAGTGGATGAAAGTCAGTATCGGCACTTTGATTTTCCACATCCTCTTCTTCTAATTCCAAATTTCTATTATCTTCGAGTACCAGGTGACCCCTGGTGCTCTTGTTGTTGCCATTCATCAACGTTTTCAGCGGCAGTGAGGCCCGAGAGAGGCTCGAGTTGATGCTGGAGAGGTCGTCAATGTCCTCCTCCTCCAGGTGATAGCCTGAGCCGGAGTCATTGGTGGCGGTGGCGGTGCCGCCCAGATCTGCAAAAACGCTTCGCAGCGCAAAGAGGTGGTGCTTCAGGTGGTGGTAGATCTCATCCAGCTCGGTGCATTTGCGCCGTAAATCGGCCACCTCCTCGCGAATTTGCGTGTTGACGGGCGACTTGCTTCGCAGTGGACTGACCGGATTACTGATCGCGGTGGTGACGGCGGCCGACTGATTGATCTTCTGGTGCTTCATCAGCTGTCGACTCAGCTCAATGTTCATGTTCATGGCTTTGGTCAGCTTGATCTTGATCAAGTCACGGTCCTCAGCCAACTTCATAATCGTACGATCTCTTAGGTAGAGCATCCTCTTCAGAGCATCACACGAAGTGCACTGTTTGGAGTGTTGGTGGTGGTGGTGCTGTTGTTGTTGTGGTTCGTACTCCAGCGAGGGAATGCTCGTCGAGGATACTGCAAATGAAAAGTGTATATTTTAGTAAAACTGGTGTTGATGATAAATGAGAATCAGCAATAATCTTACCCGAACTTCGCAGCACATTGGGCTGATCGTCGCTGTCCAGCGAGATAAACAGTCGTGGGTTTTTCTGCAAGAATAACAAACTGTTACAAAATCATCAGAAAAAAAGAGGTGGGTGACCAGAACTTACCAACTGAGATACATTCTCCAGCGAAAGATTCATCGGCTGATTAGGCTTTATTGAGAGAGATGTTTTGTCCATGCTGTTGTCCTCAGGTAAAAGAACAACAATTTTCACAGAATAATAATCAGCAGCCGTGAGCAGCCGGGAGAGAGAGAATGAGGTCGCTCTGAGGAGCGCACCACCGCCGAGGAACAGACAACAGAATCGCCGGCCGCTGTGGCCACAACTGGTCGACCTGATCTGATGTGGCCATCTGGCGAGCAAATTCACTGATCACTGCTCAAAAGTCGGAAGTTCTCCTCAGTTGTTTAAACACACATGGACGTGTGTTTTAGGAGTGCACAAAGGCGTCCTCTGACGTATCTCACCAGTTCTCCGTATTTTAATTTGTTGGCACTGGCAATGTTAATTGAATTTATATTGCATGCCGTGGGTGACAGTACTGAAAGTACTGAAAATGTGACATGTCTAAAAAGCAGGGGCACTGCTTTGTGCTTTGTTTGCCAATCACCAAGCTGTTTCATGGGTAATTGGCAAACAATCCACAGACACGCAACAAAGGTAAATTGGAAAGATGAGGTTGGAGATATTTGGTTGGCTGTCAAATTAAATTGAGTGGTAATTTGGTATATCAATTGCTACTGTTGAATGGAGTAACAGCATCTCATTTAATTATTCAAAAGACAGAAAGATGTCCTTTTGAACGGTTCACTTTACAATTTGAAAATTCTGATTTTCAGATTCAAGCTACTTAAGTTATCACCTCAATGTTGCGCATTATCGTAACACTTTTCTGCCTAATTGTCTTAGGTGTGCAATAGTGCTTACCTGTCTGCTGCTTATAATGCTTTTTAGGCAAACCTTATCTCAATGCAATTTACACTTTTTAATGATTAGAATTTCACTTTCGAGATAGTGTAATTAAAATGATGATGCGCAAAATCAAACTCCTAATNCGATTCAAGCTACTTAAGTCTAATCACCTCAATGTTGCGCATTATCGTAACACTTTTCAGCCTAATTGTCTTAGGTGTGCAATAGTGCTTACCTGTCTGCTGCTTATAATGCTTTTTAGGCAAACCTTATCTCAATGCAATTTACACTTTTTAATGATTAGAATTTCACTTTCGAGATAGTGTAATTAAAATGATGATGCGCAAAATCAAACTCCTAATTGTTGCTAAATGCATTTTTGTTTTGGTTTTATAAAGCTGACATTTTTCAAACCTAAAAATTATGCAACAGTTGCAATACGAATTTTTGTTGCAGGGTCTTTATGTCTTCACTTACAATATCCTGTAATGCCACCCTTTTCGGGCCATTCTTAATATCTCTCCTTCACCCTCCTCCTCCAGAAATCAGCATCTCAAAAGGACAGTCAAATCAGCGAGGTCTGGCGCCCACTTTTTTACTGTACACTCGAAATAATGCCCGCAATCCGGAGCGACTTCGCTGGAATGACAGTGGTGGAAGTCTTCGATCGCAGTACTTCAACGGTGGCCAAGACACAAAGCTCATAGGTCTGTGTGTTCTACCGGTTAAAAAGGTCAGATGTAAAACGTTTGGTCATTGTATTTTATCTTCCCAGTGCACGGCTTCATCGACAGTCCCTCCCTGGGCGAGTGGATGACGACGATGAAGGACCGCTTTCTCAGCGTCGCCCCGATGAACGTCATAATCGTCGACTGGAGCAATGCCAACCAATTTCCCTACGGCCGAGCAGTGGCCAACAGTCGACAGGTGGGGCGAATGGTGGGGCAGATGATTCGGTCGCTGGGCGCATCGAGGAACTCCAGCCCCGCACAGTTTCACATACTGGGTCACAGTCTGGGGGCGCATGTTGCCGGTAAGGGGGTCAAGAAACAGATAACCGACTCTAACTCTTTGTTGAAAATGTATCCAGGATTCGCCGGCAAAGCACTGAACGGTCAACTGGGGCAAATGTAAAAGCTGAAAAAGGTAGAAATAAAAAACCTTAACATTTTTCTCCTCTAGAACGGGCCTAGACCCTGCGGGGCCGTACTTTGAAGGGGCCTCTCCGCAGGCCCGTCTCTGGCGAACGGACGCCCAGCTGGTGGACGTCCTCCACACCGACGCCGGTCGGCTGGGCATGTGGCAGCAGTGCGGCAATGTCGACATCTACTTCAACGGCGGCCGCAGCCAGCCGGGCTGCACCCAGGACCGGCTGACCTTCATGACGAGGGGCGCCCTCAATGGGTTCGCCAAATCACGGCTCTTTAAATTCACTCAAACCTAACCTAAAATTATCCTCACTCAGGGCCCGCACCCTGTTCGCCTGCGACCACCAGCGAGCGGTGGACTACTACACCGAGGCGATCACCGCCTCGCCCAACAACGGCGCCCTCATTGCCCGCCAGTGTGACAGCTACGAGAACTACCGCGCCGGACGGTGCAACAGCTGCGGCCCAAACGGAGGACGGTGCGTGCCGGTGGGCGTCACCAGGGGCTCCCGAAATCGGCCCATTCGACAGTCCTCCTCCTCCTCCTCGTCGTCATCATCAGGCGGAGGCGGTGGCAACAGTGGCGGCGGCCGCTTCTTCATCACCACCGCTTCCAGTCCGCCCTTCTTTCGCGGAAAGTGATGATGATGATGATGAGTGCTGTTAAGTTGGTGCGAAAAAAGAAAGGTTTATACTGCATGAAATCAAAACAATACGTTTGTAACGTTGCCTGTATAGAGCAATAAAAAAGTATTTGGTTCGAAAAATAGGCGACTTGGCGTCACAGGTGTGTGCTGAGAGGCTCTAAATAGTTCTGTAAGTAGTAGTAGCTGAAATGAAGAGGAATATGGCGCTGACTTTACCCGTCTTCAATCGGTACTTTGTTGGCCTAAAGAGTTGGTGGGAAACATGTCGACTTTGATCAGTGGATGAGACCACTCGCCAAGGCCGCTCTCTTTGAACGTTTCGATGAGAGCAACTTTGACCTTACGATAGGCAAATGCTCGCGTCTTCAGGCCTCGGTAGTAGGGCTCAAAACACTTAAGTTCTACCCCTAAAGGGGCGTTCACGTCCTCAATCGATGTCAGGTGGGGACAGTCTTTCATCTTTTCCTTTAGGCGCTGATAGCTGGTGGCGAGAGATTTCTTTGCCAGGCGAGACATGGCCCGGGCACCCGTGAAAACCGAGCCTTTTTGGCCGGTCACTTGCTCTACAGTAGCGGCAGTTCCGTCCAGCTTTAGATACCAGTTGTGGGAAATGCTTTTGTTTTTGAGCTCCTAAAAACGGTAAATAATACATGAAGTAATTTGAAAAAATGAGAATTCAAACAAACCTTGTTATTAGACTTGGCATCACTTGGCTTGTACACGCCGAGCTTGTGGGAGTTAAGACGGTACAGTTTGAGCAAGCTCGGGTCAGCTTTGGCAATTTTCGACTTTAACGTCGTCTCGTTAATACNGTTATTAGACTTGGCATCACTTGGCTTGTACAAACCGAGCTTGTGGCAGTTAAGACGGTACAGCTTGAGCAGGCTCGGGTCAGCTTTGGCAATTTTCGACTTTAACGTCGTCTCGTTAATACGTCCAAACAGACCGCGAGACATGTTCTCCTCGTGAAAGAGATCGCTGACAATCAGACTGTCAAGGTAGATGGGCTCCACGAAGGTGCTGAGCAGGGCGCCCTGGACGCCGACGACGTTCCACATGGCAATCTTGTCAGAGCACGTCATGAACTTCTTTCGGTGCTCGCCACTTTCAATCTCCTCCATTGCCGGTATGTACTCGTTGTTTGAAAGCGCCAGATTGTCCTGAACCTTCTCAATCTTGCTGCGAAGACATCCCTTCTGCCGGGAGTTTTCAGCAGTTCGACTCTGTACAAAATAAAGGAAAGTTACAAAGAAAAAATTAGCAAATACCGAACTCAAAACTGAAAATCAAGTAAAACATGGGTATGTACATGATCCCACTGTAAAATCCTCGCGTCGCCACAGGGAGGAGATGAAATGTAGAGGTGAAGTCGGAGGTGCGGCTTTAAGCGAAACCCCTTTCCACTGGGCGAGGGCTCGAGAATGAGATCATTCGAATCGGCGCCGTCGCCGCCGTTCTGGGCAATCTGGTGCAAGTTCTCGTAGAGAAAGCAGAGAAAAGCTCGACGGGCGACCACCTCGGCGTGAGAGTCCATCACCACCTCTCCGTTTTCCTTGATGTTGTCACTGGTGATCCACTTGGTGCCGGTGCCCATGCTGATCACTCGAACGGACAGCGGATTCTCCGTCGAGGTGACCACAAACGCCGCCAGCATGAACTGCTTGTCCGCCGATTCGGGCAACGAATTCCACCGGTTGGTGACCGCAGTGTAGACCAGCTGGGCCTGGGTGAGGATTAAATTTTGCGACAGCTTCGTCATGAAGTTGACCGCCAGTCTGCAGGCATTGCTGAGCGCAGCATTTCGGCTGGGGCCAACGCCAGAAAAGAGGGCAAAGCCAAAGAGTTCAATATCCAAGAAGCAGGTTTTGCCGTCATCAGATTCAACCATGTCCATGGAGATGACCTTCAAGGTGGAGAAAGGCAGCTGATCGTACCAATCATCAAACGTCTTTCTGGCCGGTTTTTCCTCTGCAAATACTAAAATGCAAAAGTTAGTTATTTTGAATGATTCTTAAAATTGTCAAATTTCCTGTACCTTGATAAAAGCAATCGGCGGCAATCTTGGCGTTGTTGATAAATGAGATCGCTTCCTTCTTGGCCATGTCAATAGAGACGGTCTTTTCTTGATTCTCACCCTTCACAACGGCAAGAGTGCCAATGGAGATAAAGGTTGAATAGGATGGATTGTCTCCACCAACAGGATTATCCACAGGCGGAACGACTATTATTTTAACGGTCGACTTTTCGGTAATTTCCAATAAAACCTGATCATCAGTTTTCTCTGACTTTGCTATCTCACTGTAGGTTGTTATCAAGGAATACAGTTCCTTGAGTTGAGGCAGATGTTCGTCAGACTGAAGAGCTATCTTTTTAAATTTACAAGGCGGAAAATTTGTTTCTGAACAAGATCTTTTAACTGAAACCTTAGGACTGGTTTTTTGAATGGTTGTTTTTCCATTTTTCACTTCTTCTGCATTCTCTTTGCCTTGATCATCAATTCCGGAGATCTTTTCAAGACAGCGAATCCATTTTGTAGCAACATCAGTTTCAGCATTTGGGCCTTTTTCTGTTATGGTGATCAGATGCTTTATTTTGATTTGAGCACTATTTGGATATGTCTTAAACTGCATTATAAACTTGTGCTCAGTTGAACAGAGTGTTGCGAAAGCAACAGGAGTAAATTTCTTGCGATAATGATCTGAAAATATTGTTTTAAATTAGAAAAAATTGAATACTTTTATAATGAAAATAACAACAAAAAGCAAAGCATACGTTTATGAAAACTGGCAACAAGTTTCGCCAGAGACTCGAGATAGCGAACCGCTCTTTTAGCTACAGCATTTTTAGCTTTAGGCTCAATTAAGTCAAAACATTCAAACGTTACATTCAGAGGCTTGAAGACAATTTTTACTTGATATCTCTTATCGGCTAGTCGTACGCTGCTAACAGCAATATCAATCGGAACTGATGGTTTCAATTCTAAAATCATGTTCATGTTTTTCTTTCCTTGCGTGTGGACTGAAAATATAATTTAGAAAATGCCATAATTAAGCTTCAAGCTGACACAAATATCGCCTGTTGCAGCGAACTCTAAAACTTACCCCCGTTAAAGCGCTTGATCAGATTTCTCCAGACGGTCAAGTTTTGTTTGTCGAGCTCATCGTCTCCCTGCAGTTGGTTGTCGCCCATCCTGACCAAGTGACATTGATCTTTTGATAGGCAACGCAGAGAGAAGACCTTTTGCTGTCAATCCGTATCCGCTGTGATAACTGAAGAACAGGTGAAAGTGGAGCTAAAGAGAAACGTAATTGAAGCGTAGGCAGCGTGAAACATAAACAAACTGCGGCGGCTCGCTGAGAAGTTGTTTGCAATGACGCAATGCACAGCTGACTTGAATCGCCGCCTCGGACTGTTCTCGCAAGCTTTCTCGACCGGTTTCTTTTTGTGTGTCCTCTCTGCGCTGTGCGGTGAAAGTGACGATCAGCTAGCAAGCATCTGGCATCGGGCCTTTCTCTAAACACTGAAGAGAGCTTTAACTGTTGAGCTGAGAGGAAATGCTGCTGCTATATAGCGGGATTGAAAGTTGGATGACTCAGCAAGATGACTCGGTGAAAATCTCGACTGATGCCATTTAAAAGTGGCGAAAAGATGCGCCTTTTGATGATAAAAGTAGGGTAGTGATGAGTAAAGTTGAAATTCGACTCCACAACTACTAAAACAGACCCTGAGCACTCTTAATGTCTCTAAAAAGTAATTGTAAGCTATTTGGGAGTGAATGATAAGAGCAAGTGCAATGCTTAGACGAGAGCGGTTATTTGAAAATACCCAATTGTGAAGCCGTTCTGGTAAAAAACTAGTCACACGATATGTAAGTAATCTGCCAACGATTCCAGACATTTTTTGCAAAATAAACTTATTATTAATTGTTTACATTATAAAAAAAATCTTTCAATAACAATTATAAGCTCGCACAGAAATATGCTGCATCAAGAGGCAGTCAACTAGCAAATTGGCATTTAATTGTCGACTCAGGCTTTTTCATCATCATCTTCTTCTTCAGCTCTGCACGTGCACTGAAGCACGATGTGCACTCTGACATGAAGTGAGAGAGTACTTTAGTAGCCCCAAAGACATTACATTCCGTCCAAGGGCACCCTATTCTGGTTACTGCTCAATCGACTGTGAACTACTCTCTCTCTCTCTCCCCCTATCACAGCAGGTAGTCAATGAAGCAGTGACAACAGCAATCACAACAGCACTATGGACATCTCAATTTGTCAACCGTCTGTGCAATTTCACCCTTTCACGGCAACACCTCTGCCGAGAAAGAGAAAGAGTTCAGTTTGGGCAGAGTGCTCTGAAGAATTGTGCTCATTTGCTGCCAGACAATGGCCGCCTCCAGACTTGATGGAATTCATCGTCTTCTTCTCTTTACAGTGCTCATCCTCTTCTTTGTCGCCAGCAGTCCCGTTTTTTGCAAACAGTTGAAATGTTCCTCGGAGCACTTCAAGCAGCCTAAGCAATTTAGTTCACTGAGAGGCAAATCATCAACTTCTCTAGGCAGCGTCTGCCGAACTTCTGCCTGCACCGAAGTCGGCAAGTCTCTCTACCAAGCGATTGACTTCTGTGCTGATCCCTGTGAAGACTTC